TGAAACCTCATTGGTCTGCTCTGAGGAGATCACTGTTCAATGGAGAGAAAAAAAAGATATATAAAATACGAGATTTATTCTGTAATATTATTATCCTGATGATAATGATTATTAATATTGTTAATTAATATTCTATTTATTATTATTATTATTATTATTATTATTATTATTATTATTATTATTATCATGGTTCTGATTGAATATTATCATCTTAGTAGTAATCATCCCCTCTTCTCTCCTGTTCATTTGCTTTGTGCGTTGGATATTTTTCCCTCGTAGATATAGAGACGTAGAGACTCCTTCCTCCACCTCCTTCTTTTCCTTTTCTCTCACCCTCTTTTCTTCTCTTCTTTTCTAGAACACCATATAGAAACCCCCTCCCTGCAGTATCACTACGCCTCCCCCGACCTACACTATTGACAGAAATATGAGCGTATAAAGACATCTTTTTTTGAAGCTGCTGATATAGTTTGTGCCAGTACAGTATATATATATATAACATTATTTTTGCCAAAAAATACAACGATAACTTGTTTTTTATTTTGTTTTAATCATACTGAGACATTAAAACTCTTCATGACTCACAGAAATGATAAGAAAGAAATATGACTTCACTGATCTTCTGTCATAGGTCAGGTGATCCACATACAGTATAAAGTATTAGTCTAACCTTACCACTTGTGGTGTTTGATTTACACAAAATCATAGTTGACACCACAAAACTGCAGTACAAAATATAACAACTTAGTTGTAGAGATGCAAATACCACAATTAGAGGATATTGTTGTGAAATTCTATGTTTTTCTTATTATCAACAAATCACATCAAAATGACCAGAATTGTCATATTTCTAGGCATTATGCTAAGCTAAGCTAACCAGCTGCTGGCTTTAACTTCATATTAATTAACACAGATGAGAGAGGAGAACGCTTCATATTTTTTTATTAATCTCGTTATTTTTACTTTGGTCGTATTTACCAAAATGTAAAACCATTTTTTTTAAACGGGACAGAATAGTGCATTTACAAAAACAGCTGGGCACTTATAATAATATTTTATATTTTTTGATTGCTTTTTAAGGTGCTCTGAGACACTTTATACATACAGGTAAAAATTCATAAAACAAACTAAATGTACCATAATAGTTATTTACATGCTACTCTAGAATTTGAGCAAACATGACTGGGGACTTCTTTTTTGCCAAGGAGAATTCAAATATGTATCATATCTGTGTGATTGAGTCAAAATGAACCATAGACCATGTGTTCAAGGTGAAACAAAATGGACTTCACTTGTTCAAAAGTGTGACTCAGCGATGTGTTTTTTGTCGATTTTGGAGCTCTATGGCAGGAAGAAGATATTATGGGTTTGATGCACACATGATATTCTATCATAGGATTAATTTATAACTGGTTTGGGTCTTTTCATGTGATTTGTTGACTACAGAGAAAAATATGTCCTTTTAAGTATAGCCAAAGATGAATGAATATGTGACAGTTAGTCTCAAAGGCTGGCTTCTGTTTGGCCAATCAGCCGCCTCCATCTTTTTCAAACCACAACAACATGAGCGAAAGTGCTGCTTGAGTGAGTTGTGACAGACCGTTTTCCCAACTCAGAGAAAACTCCGACCCGACATCACCTGAAAAAAGGGTGTCGGGTTCAGGTGCTCGGAAACTACACAACTAGTGTTTTTCCTACCACAACCGTGTTAAGGTGCTCGTTAAAGTCAAAATAATCCAAACAGTTTAACGCTGTCTCTCAATGTACTGTATATAGTCTGAGCATCACTGAGAAATAAAGAAAACATGTTTGATATTTAGCCCACAATCAAAGTTTACTATTAGCATTAGCCAGTTAGCTGCTGTATCCTGCTGATCAAACACTTCAATGGTTTACCAATTAACAAGGACCGTTCAAATGCATCATATGCAAACTGTGAGTCCCAAGCATTCACCTATGCACCATACCTTAACTCCTCTAGCTCTCCTGGTTCTTCCTATCAGTGCCACACAAATACACAATGTCAAAGGTCAAATGCTGCATTCAGGTCAGATTGGAATAACAGTACAAAATGATGGTACTTATTTTAATTTATTTACAAGGATGTTGTCAAACATTTAAAAAAAAGCTGGTCCTATGTCTTTCCTAAACACTTTTCTTTGATCTTTCATGGGGTTAAGGAAAAGACAATGTTCCTAAGAGGGGGAAAACTCAGAGATGTTTCTGTATATAGACTAGTAGCGCATCTAGATACCTCACCGTTCTTATCATATTTTTTCAAGCAGGCTTTTAAACGTGGACGAAAGAGAAATATATTACTTCATTACAATGTTTAAACTCCAATAAATAAAAAAAACTCACTTTTTGGTTTAACTTAACAAACTTCAAAACATATAGGTATTTTACAATTTAAATGATCTGTGTTTGTAGGTCAATATTGGTTGTTTCTGATTGGTCGAATGGTGCCATACCTTAAATGTTGCAACCACAAGGAATTGTGAGTTAGTTTTCTCTCATTTCGTAAAGGATTGTTCAGCGTATCCTAAGCTAAAAAGATATATTTTGGGAAGCATTGAAGCTCCTTTCCTATAGAGAATTCAAACAGCTCTTATCATTGCTGCCACTTAGGTTCTTCCGGGTTATTGGGAACCTTCCTAAGAGAAAAAGTGTATTAAACCGCAACCCAAGATGTTTTCCTAGATGCTTCTGATGATCTTCAGTAACTCCAAAAGATATGACGTCAAGATCAGAAGCTTCTATATTTCCTGTGTGAACTGAATGCAGCACCATAGAGAACTCCTGAGCTTTGACCCCTCTCTCTTGATAGGCTGATGCAGTCTTCCTCCACCCCTCCCCCTGTCCTTCCTCACATCTCATCTTCCTTTTTTTCTTCCCTTCTCTCACTTGCATGCCAATAAAAAGGGGGCGTGTCCTCCTCTTTAGGCAGGTGTCATTTCAGGCGTGAGACGGGGGTGCAGCACCTAGGCACGACTTCTGATCTGACTAAATGTAACACAGTTACAGTTCTTTATGTGACAAGTGGTGCGAAAAAAGAAAAAAAATCAAAGTCCAGACTCTGGTATCACACTGTCTTCTCATTTATTCCTCTAGCTCAGATATCAGAAAATTCCCAGTTACCTCAAATGCACCATATGTCAATCAGTGGCTCATGCTGGGTTCATGTCGTATAAGAAAAAACGGAAGAACAGGGTGACTTATTTAGCAAATTCATACAGTGGTAGACCACATCAAATTAACTTAAATGAGTTTTAAATTGACATTATGTTTTTTCGGCAGCTGATATTTACGATAAACCCATTATTACACAAACGCAGCATCAGAAGACGTCCTGACACCTGCCCAAGGAGGATGAATCGAACCCAGATAGATTCATTTGAGTAAGAAGAAGCAGGTTTTTGTTAAACTGCCTTTGTACTGAGTGATTGGTAACACTGGACTGAACTCAGTGTCACACTGCACACACTATAAACTATGACCAGCACTTGTAATGAAGCAATGACACAGCATTCTACTACTACTGTATAAAAATTATGAAGAGGATGTTTTTTTCTGTAATGATATTATTGAAACTGAAGATGAATTAATAAAAATAATCCTGATTATTCTGTACCTCTTGTCTGGGAAAGTTGTCTTTTTTCCTATTATTATTATTATTACAAAATAAATATTTAACAGTCTTTCTTTTTGAGTGTTGAGGAAAAGCTTTAATACAAGGTGTAAATATTTGTTTATTTTTGCAGTTATTTCAGATCTTTAATAGGCATTTTGTGTTTCTAACTAACTGCTGAGAATTAGGATATAACCTTCTACACAAGGTCCAAAAAGTATTGTGATGAGAGATTTTATTCCATCATACAAACAAACACGACCGCAATTATTGAGTATAATGATAGATTTTCAATCTTTTTTTGCTCTTTTTCATAATTTTGCAACAATTTAGAAGTGTAGTTCCCACATTCAAATGACAACACTCCAAATAAATAAATGACAAACTTATTTTTTTCAAATCAAAGAACAAGCCAAACTCCATGAGGATAAATAGGTATTTATTGCTTTGGAATTTTTTTATTACCAATTTTGAAAGAAATGTTTTTTTTTCTTTTAATCATTTTTGTACTTGCTGGTAATTCATTCGTTTTTTTCTGATTTTGTAAATTGCTGTGAATATAATCTTCACTTCAATTCAAAATTAAATGTAAATCTCTTTCCAAATTCATAACATAGGTTGTATTTGAACAGGCCAATGTCTGTCCTCTTTAAACATGGGTTTTGTGTTCATTACACCCTACTTATGTCTCTAACAACCTATATTGAATAATTGAACATTGATTGTATATTCTGTAGATTCCCTTCTCTAAACACTCAATATACCATGGCCTATTCTTCTGCAGACATGAGAACAAAGCCTAGGTTAAGTGTTTCCTTATCATTACGTATTAATATGTAGATCAGTATTTCAGGTTAGCTCAACCTTGTGATCTAATCTCATGGACATATGATCAGTGAATACCGACATTTTGAAAACTATGATATATACATTTGTATTTGTTGTAAATGCTGTGTAAAATGCATTTTCATGAAATTAGGGAGTAGTGAGGTAAAAAAAAACATCTATCAGCAGTCAGTATAGGCTACTGTGCACATATCCTTGCATGAGGGTATACTCAATTAAACAATCATAAAGATGTAATGTAACCTAAAAGCAATATTCATTATTCATTCATGCTATTCATTTCAGTTTCTTTTTTTGTTGGTTTATGCTCACGTTAGTTGTTAATCTTGGTTAATTATTAATACTAAATAATCAGTAGTAATATTTCCAAAGTAGTTGTCACATGATATATAGCAACCAATGTAGCAACGTGTTTGATTGGTTTAGACAAGATTCCTCTCATCGCTGTGTCCAATCAGCATCATTGTTTTACATAGTTGGAATGTTGTCTCCTCCCCCTTTTGGAGTTGGAAATGACAGTGAGAAGGAGGAGAGAAGGTACTAGCGCTGCTGCACAACAAGCAACCAGTCTAGAGTGAAACTGTGGTGCAGAACAATAAAACCCGAACTAACGCAGGTTGCATTAAAACTAATCATTTGTAACGACTTCCCCTTTGGATATAGCAGCTAAAGAAGAACGTGGACGGCTGAGAAACACAGTGAGTATTGCAGTGTTTTCTGTCTGAGGCGGCTTTGTTATCAACAGGTGCTGCAGGAAGCAGCAAGCTAGCTAGTTAGCTGCTAACATTAGCACGATAAAGTTAAATAATATAAACCAGCCACTTACTAAATAAAGTTATTATTTTGAGAGTGTTTAGTCTCTAAACTGATGACAAAGGATAGTACCAACTAAAGAAACTACATTTCTACAGAAAATGAAGCTTATTAGCCCATGTCTCAGCTACTTCTGGGGTACTCTGATAGTGAAACTGGCTAACCAAAACACTAATTTTACGTTGCTCGCTTAGCTAGCTGACACAACGCCCTGTCAAATACAATAAGTAACCTTCATTCATAATGTTATACAAAATAACTTTACATTTCATTTTTCAGAATTATAACAACTGTGTTGTTGTTGCGTTTATCCTTCCTAGGTTCAAGTGAAGTTAACGGACAGTTTTAATAACGTAGCCTTGGCTAATGTTAATTGTCATAACGTTACGTTTCGCCACATACTTTCTGTACACCTACTAAAGTTACGTTGCTATCGTGGTATGCTAGTTTTGTTGAAAAAAGTAACCAATTCCTGCCTGCTGTATAAAGTCTGTGCCAGGACAAGCAGAAGCTACAAATAATAAAAGGTTTTCTGGTTATCAACAGAGGTGGGTACTCAGATGTTGTACTTAAGTAAAAGTAGAAGTACCAGAGTGTATACATACTCTGTTACAAGTAAAAGTCCTGCATTCAAAATGTTACCTAAGTAAAAAGTACAAAAGTATTGGCATCACAATAGTAAAAGTAGTTATTGTGCAGATTGGTCCATTTCAGAATAATATATATGATATGTTTTATAATGATTGATCATGAAAGTGTTATCAAAGCTGGTAAAGGTGCAGCTAGTTGTTAATGACTTTGTTTACTGCAGGGTAGCTTGTGAATTTAATCCAGGTGGAACTAAAGTCTGATTTAAGTGTTAGAAAATTATACTTTTTACCTCTGAATTGTAGTGGAGTACAAAGTAGCAACAAATGTAAATACTTCAGTAAAGTACAAATCTCTCAAAATTGTACTTAAGAACAGTATTTGGTTATCAGAAGACACATCCCTGAAATAGGGAGGTAAGATTGTCTATGAGCCGAGGCTTGCCCTTTTCAAAACTTTCAACTCTAACTACTCCCAGAATATCCCTTAACCCGGGTTCGTCACACGACAAACCTGTTGAGCATTGTGCTGTTTGCCTGAAAGTGTTAACATTTTCCCGTCAAAGTCTATTCTGTGGAAAATGTGTATATGTTCCAGTGTAATGTTGTATAGTGCTTCTGCATGCCATATCATGAGGACTGTGCCTGGGAAGAGTCTAACCTAAAAGGGTGGGGTTTCTCTTATGTTGAATAGTGGCAAAACTATTAGTGGCTGACAGGTTTAGACTTGACTTTAGCCTAGCTTAATAAATAACCTTACTGAATTATAGAGGGAGTTCCATTTTTTTTTTTAAATATTGCTCTACCAGCAGCTGAAAGCTCATTTTAAGTCATTAGCTGCAAGTGAATGTGGTTCATTGTCAATAGTTCAAATATACCTATAGATAGTATGTAAACCCCCTGGTGCTTTTGCACTGACCTTTAGATAGGCTTTACTACAGGTATGAGGTCACATTGCTATGGCGATGGGGTCAAAGCTGACTTTAACACACACACACACACACACACACACACACACACACACACACACACACACGTACACACACTGGGCTGGTTGAGCAGAGAGGTGAGGACAGGCACATCGGGCCTCAGGCCAGCACAATACAGGAACCCTCTGTTCTCTGGAATGCTCTCTCCATCACTTTCTCTCTCTCTGGTGCTCGGACCTGATTAGGACCCAAAGTTAGGCTAATACTAAATCAAAATGTGTCACCAGACCTAAACTGAAGCTGATACTGTCCCCTTACAGTGTTCCCCTCAGATATAATGAAGGTTCCTTTCTGGCCATGACTAGTCGGTTTAATCTAAAGCTTATGTTACTCAGCCTAATTCTGCCTTGCTGTTTAGGCATTTGTTAGCAGTGTTACGCTGTCAATCAGTAAAGTTGGCCTTAGCCTGCCAAAACAATGGGTTGGGTGATCAAGATAAGGATCTTCTTAGCCGTTCTCTCAGTGGATTTCTTACTGTAAATCATAATGGTTATTTATTTAGGTTATGAAAATCTGTTCTATATACAGCTTGTGTACACATACAATGTTTCAGTCATAAGATCTTTGTCACAGACACACTTTTATGATACTTACACATTATGTTCAGCTGTATAATCTTGACAAACTTAAACACATTTTATGATTTTTTTTTAAAGCCTAAATCCCATCGGCATTAGTAAAAAACTAACGTTAGACAACATGGTCACATGACTTCATGTCACCGTTGCTAAGCTAAAGGTGGCTAATCTTCTTTGTGATGACATTAGACCTAGTCTAATTTAGACACTTGTAAGCAACCACTGATTTTATGACACATAAAATCTTCAGACCAGTGGATAATTTACTGACGTATTTTATGTCGTAGGACAAAACATAAAAATCAAACCAAAACAAACTAACGGAAATCTCATTAAAAAAACGATTGACTTTGACGATGGTAAAACACTAACACATTCCCGGGTTTTAGGACTCCTTCCACACAACTCTATTCCCTCCACTCTGCCTTATTTTGACTCTTTTGCTCTCTGTCTGGTACAGGGTGGTACGTGTGTACGTGTGTACGTGTGTGTGTGTGTGTGTGTGTGTGTGTGTGTGTGACCAGATAAGAGCGAGCTCTGCTTCTGCTCTCGTTGACATTCCCCCTCACTGCTCTACTCACTCTTTGTGTCACATAATGTCATGCCCTCTGATTCATTGCCTGTATGATCAACAATCGGGTTGATTTTCAGAAAATTGGTTAAATTTCTAGCTGGTCTTGAATTTGAGTCAGTCGCCTTCCAATCAATGTTCCATATTTCCACAATGCCGGTGTCAAAGATCTGTTTAAAACTGCAGTGAGCTTATTTTTTGTCTTGGAGTAGTATTTCACAAGGTGTGGCTATAAGGGTAGTTTTTACTTTGACTTTGCTGTGACAGAAGTAGTCTTCCCTTTTAGATAGAATACAATTATTAGCAAGTAATGATGTTTTTAATTGCTGTTTTAAAATGCTGTCAATATTGTTTGGGTTGCAGACAGTTGTATTTTTTAAAATACCTTCATTGGAATTGTAAATGGAAACAATAGATTTAGGTTCCTTGTTTATGTTGAGAATAAGCATCTACTTCATTCCCAGTCCATTGATCCATTCATTATGATTCTATGAACATTTGAATACTACTATTGTGCCTGGTCTTCATTAGTGTTGCTGTAATGATAATTTAAGTTTATCTATTTTATTATAGAAAGTATTTAAATACTTTACCTGAAGTAAAGTATTTAGATACAGATACTGAAAATCGTTGGTTATTGTGCTATTAACCTGTTAAAAAAAAAAGCCTGTTAAGCCCCGTAGCCTCCTCCGGCGGGGGCTAATAAACACACACCGGGCTTTTTTTTCACGAAACTGTGTCTCAGGGCTTCTTAAAATGTAATAAACTATGAATGTGTCATAATCACTTAACGGGAAGAAACTAAGCTAACTGACGATATGAACCATTTTTACCGAAACAAAACACAAGTCTCACAAGAAGCGTCTAAATGAGCCCTGAGCGAAAAAATGCTAACGCACTTAGCACAGAACTCTAAGTATAAATCGATCGATATACTTATCGGATCTGCACAAACAAGCTTTGCTAGCAAGCTGAGATTCCACAGATTCTAGAAATATAAGTATCATCACTGAGCGATCAGAACTCGCGACAGGGGAAGCAAAACCAGACAACACACGACGTAGCTTTAGGTAGCAAAACACGGAGATATGCTCAACTTTAGCTGTTATTCTGATCAAAAGTTGCGTTCAATGGCATTACAACGAGAAAAACGTGGCTGAAGGTTAATCCATAGGTTAATCCAATGTGTCTGTCACTTTGAAAAAATTATTGATAATCCATAATCCCATTTGTATGTAAAAAACGGAGTTTTCATATTAGCTGCTAATGATAGCTTCCAGAGTGTATGACAGCTTCCTGTTTTGGGTATTCTGGCTACGCGTCACTCTCACTCCTTATTTGGTAACGTGTGTGTGTGTGTATGTGGAATTTCCCCTCAATTCCATTGGATGTCAATCATCAACATCGACCAAGGGGGGCCAGAGATATGGAAAATCCACCCTAATGACCGCAGAAGTGTTTTTTTTGTTGCTAAATCTCTAAAAAGGTAAAATTTAACTTGTTTTGCATCAATCTTGATACAGGTTACTTATATTATATGTTATAGTTTGGATTCCTAAAGCTTTTAGTCTACTATCCCATCATTCAAGGGTGGTTTACACTATACTGTAAGTAATGTAAGTAATGTTTCTTTGGACGGACACAATAATTTACATTTTTTTACTATGTTCAATCTGAATTTACTTTAAAATAAAACAAATCTGTATTTATTCTGACACTTCTACATCCAACTCACAGATGTAACCTTGCTTTGAGAAAAAAGATTATTAATTTACCCCTTTTAGAAGTGAAGTTATGGTCATTTGTTCTGGGAATGTCATTTTCGAGCCTGAGACCTGAAAAACAGGCTCAGGGCTTAACAGGTTAACATCTCATACTTTCAAACAGTGCTGTTAATCGGTTAAAACATGGATTGTTTTAATCACAATATTAATCACTGAACAATCATAATTAATAACACATTTAAAATCCTAGTATTAACCTGTATTTTGGGGGGAGTTTAAACAATTATGCATGTGGTGTTGTAATAAAGAAATGCATGACAAACTGGTAAGAGTATATCAGAGGGTTTTTTACTTTACTATAACATGATATCTGAAATGTTAGTAGAAGTTGGACAGTTTTGCAACACGTATCTAAAGCATGGACTAAGCCGCTGTC